TTTTTCTTTTTTTTTTTTTTTCCCTTCCCCCCCCCCTTTTTTTTGAGACAGCGCAGCTTACACTGCAGGCATGTTCAGAGGTATTGTGCTGCTCTCTGTGCAAGGAGATTAATGTCCCTTCTGTTGATTTGATGATATCTGGCGTGCCTTTCTGCAGGTGACCCCACGAAAGAAGTTCAAATGTCCAGAATGCACGGCAATTGATGGGTTATCACTGGACCAGACACACATGGTGGAAAGGTGAGTGACCACCCTTTATTCCTCTCATTGCCTTGTTTTGTTCCCTAGAATCTTACCCTGTGTTTCATTAAATTAGGATCAAAAATGCTCACTGATTGTATTTCTGTAAATTACTAATTTTGAAAGAATGTCGCATGGATTTGATCAGCCTAAGTCATTCCTACAGCGGATGATGTGACACTGAAAAGTGGACTACTACAAGAAAGGATTTTAGAAGGGCACAATTTTTAGAAGCTTTGCTGTAAAGAATATAGGACACATATATGAAATTCAGGTTGTTGTCAGTGCTTTCAGTAATACCACATTTCTGTTTTACCTTGGAACATCAACTGTAATGAGTATGAGATTTATTTTTTTTTTAAACCAGACAGTTGCTAGCTTACCAAAGAGTAACAAGTATATAGATTATTAATAATGTTATTTGAATAGATGTTTGTACAATGTCTTTCCTCCAAAGAGCGTGAAGCACTTTGCTTCCACTAATGAAGGGCATTTGCCTGCACAATTGCATGTCACATTTTTTTAACAATGGCAGCATTATTACATTTTTGTGAGAATTTCATTTTGAAATGAAATATGTATTTGGAAAGGCAGTGAATGTTTAGAGTGAAATACTGAAAGTTGGTAAGTATAAGAGTTGCATTCCCTGCTTTACAGTAAAATGGCTTCCCAGCTTTGACCAAGTCCCTTAACTTCCCTCTGCCTTGGCTTCTGAATGTGTAAAATAAGGGAAAGTTTCTCCACTCTTACAAAGCTGTTGAACACCCATGTTTGAAAAGGCTATCTGACAATAAATGTACATGCTAGTTATTAGGTGGAATTAACCTAAGATCTAGAACTGACAAAGGCATTCCACCTTAGGCTTCTTGGGCTGTTGCATCTCTCCTGCAAACTTTGGGGAAAATAATTTGCAGCCAAAGGATTGATGGGGTAGCTAAGCAGGGGTAGCCATAGTGCTGGAAGAGACCAGCAAAAGATGTGCCAAATTAAAAAAAATCTGACTTCCATTTAAAACAGGCCATTTCAGATTTGCACTGAGACATAACATGGTTATCTTACCAGTTACCATGGTTATTGTCTTATCATTATCATTGAGCTTTTTTCTGTCCTTCTCTGCAGTACTTGGCAAACTCAGTGTTGTATCCATTTAGTGTCATTTAGCAATGTAAATTATATTTATATATTGTAATATATGCAGCAAACTAATGCAAAACTGCTTAGCAGGTTGGGGGCTTATTTACAAGAGTGCATACCTGTGTCTGTCTGATGTGTAAACACACATTACACAACACACACAAACATATATATAGTTTGGCTGATCGATTATTAACCAAGCATCATGCCAGGCATTGAAGAGCACAACCACCAAGGTTAGTGACAAAGTATTTAGACTGGATGTATAATGGGGCTGCAATGAAAAAAGGACTGTGCAAGTCAGGTGTAAAACATACCCTGTGAAGATGGTAAAAATTACTCCCCAGAAAACGTCTTAAGGAAGGGGCTGGAAGCTTTGTGGATCTTAAATGTTTGCTGAAGGGGAAGCACAAGAGGTTGTCCTTTGTCTAGCAGTTCTGCACTGGCTTACAGGGTGGACTCTACCTGAAGCCAGTCGAGCTTTCCTGTGATCACGCTAGTAGCATTACAACAGCACGTAGGAATTTGGGTCATGAACTAGGTTCTCATTAAGGTAAACTCTATAAAAACAGAAGATGAAAAAGTGCTTTTTGCTCCAAAGTGCATTATGATGCAGGGTAAAGGTCATGTTTCCATGTCTATAGCAATTCTTGTATCCTCAAAGTTAAGTATCATTGACAGTTTATTGAGAACACGTTTAAACTGTTGCTTTGCTTCTCTGTAGTTTCGAACAGCGGACATAACTGGGTTGTGGGGTATGTTAGATTGTCTGCAAATCCACATACTTTTATTTGCCCAGCCAAAGGAGTACATGCTGGGATAGAGTCTGGGTGCAGGAGAAAATCTGGGGGATATGCAGTTTGGGTGTATTCAGGCTTCATTTTGAAGATCATTAATACCATACTGAAACTGCAGGCTACACCTAATACCTTTTTGCCCTGTGTTGTTGTTACCTACCTTCAATATAAGGGAGTCATTTGAAAATCACAGAATGTTCGAGGTTGGAAGGAACCTCTGTGGGTCATCTAGTCCAGCCCCCCTGCTGAAACAGGGTCACCTACAGAAGGCTGCACAGGACCTTGTCCAGGCGGGTCTTGAATATCTCCAGAGAAGGAGACTCCACCACCTCTCTGGGCAGCCTGTTCCAGTGCTCCGTCACCCTCAGAGTGAAGAAGTTCTTCTTTATGAATGCTTCTTTATAGTCAAGGAATTGAGGAAACTATTCCTTTCAGACTTAAATATGTTCAAAACTTCATGCTGTGTTACCAATAATTAGTACCTTGACCAAAGTAAAGCCACTCATTCTTTGATTTGCCTGTAGGACATTACTCAGCACACTTGCTCTTTGATCTGTTTACTTTTAAGTTTCCCTTGTGCTAGACCAGCTTCAGCAGTGTCTGCCAAATAGTTATAGATGCTTTGTTATTTTAAAGATGATGAACTTTGTGACTCAAGCCTTTCTCGCACCTCATGTGCATGCTTCTGTAGGTTTTTTCACCTTTTGAGCATTATGGGTTTCTGTCACAGATGCAAATCTCCAGCCTGTCCAGGTCTCACTGAATGGCAGCACAGACTTCTAGTGTATCCACCACTCCTCCCAGTTTTGTGTCGTCAGCAAACTTGCTGAGGGTACACTCTAACTCTTCATCCACATCACTGATGAAGAAGTTGAACAAGACTGGGCCCAGTACTGACCCCTGGGGGACCCCACTAGTTACAGGCCTCCAACTAGACTCAGCCTTGCTGATGACAACCCTCTGAGCTCTGCCATTCAGCCAGTTCTCAATCCACCTCACTGACCACTCATCCAGCCCACACTTCCTGAGCTTCCCTAGGAGGATGTTATGGGAGACCATGTCGAAAGCCTTGCTGAAATTGAGATAGACAACATCCACGTCTCTCCCCTCCTCTACCCAGCCAGTCATGCTATCATAGAATCCGAAAATCTGGAAGAGTTTCTTTTTTTGAATCTTCTGAGCTAGGTATTCATTTTAAGTGGATAATAAACACTACAAAATTTTCATAACTTAGCAGTCAGTAAAGTTCTTATGGCTCATACATATATATATATATGTATACACACTCTAGTTATTTTCAGGGTCAGGAGAGAAGCTGAATGAAAAAAGTGCATGCATCAGGGAGTCCTTGTCATATTATAAAAGAATAACTTTGTACAGATAACTTTACAGTGTTGGGTACTGAGAACAATACCTGGGGCATCAGGCAAAAGCCATTATCAGCTTCACTTGCAGCTTCCCAAAGTGCCTGAGTCCTTGTTTTGGAGCATTCAGAAACAGTGAGCAGGTAGTCTGAGCTAATTGCTTGCCCGGATATCCAGGGATCAAACTACTGTTTGTGAAACAAACAGTTTATCAGGGTTGTCATGGGCATGCATAGCATTTAGTGTTAGGTTTCTAGTTCAGAAATAGCAGAGAGATGCCCAGCAGCTGCTTGATGATTGTTTTGTAAGTGTAGAAGGTTTGAGAAGTCAGTTCTGGAGATCTGTCCAGGAGAAACATGTAACTAACCAGTTCTTTTGGGCCTTCAGTAGCTCTCGGCAGAGACAGAGGAAAGATGGTACAGTTGAACTCTGTGTCTTATTAAGAGATTTTTTTTTTTGACCAATACTGAAGGATATTTACAGCAAATCGTGGGAAAGCCAACACTGCTATTCTTCCTGCTGTGTAATTTCTCTGAGATAAATAAAAGACTTCAGTCCCCAGGGTTATCGAGCTCCATCATTAAAACACATTAACTAATGAAAGCTTTGAACCAAGGATCCCCTTCTTGCCCTAGGTTAGCCTTTACATCAGGTCATAGAAGAAGCTGTAGGGAGGATCTCATAATCCCTGTATTTACAGGTGCTGTTTAAGTAGCAACAACTTTTCTGCCCTTAGCATCTTTGCATCTGGCTCCCAAAAACGGAGAACCTTGTAAATGCCGCCTAGAGGGCAACTGCCTGTACAGTAAATACAACAAAGGGCTGAGCTGCTTCTGCAGTAACATTAACAGCAGTGTCTTATTTAGGACATGTAAATATTTGTTGGAGTCAAAATAGAAAGCCATTCCCTGAAGAGGCAAACTGACCAGGTAACAGTTAGCCAAAGGCTGCAGGTGCAGAGTTACCCTGTCAAAACATATTCGGGTTATAAGGGAGAGGAAGCTGATGAAGAGGTACCTTAACAGACGTGAAGTTCACCCAGTCTGCCAGGGGCAACAGAGCTCTCCATTTCTCAGATCACACAATCTTAATTCCTTGTTGAGCACAACGGCAGAGCAAGGAAAAAAATGAATAATTGTTGGATGCAAACATGCATCTGTTAGTACGAATTTGCAGAACTGTTAACACAGCCAAGAAAAACACCTTTCCTCTGTGTTAAGATTACGTGTTATGTTCTTTTGGCTACCTAGCTTTGAATGTTTAATGATCTAGATATCCTTTCTGGTCTCTATTGTCCAAAAGTGGCAAAGGCTTTGGAATTCAAGTGATTTAGTTCAGTGCAGGAGATTAAATTTTTGAAAAGATGCAACTTGCCTTCAAACACATTTTGTGGCTTGTGTATGGCATCCCTTTCATCTCAAAAAGCCTGTTTCTGATCTTTGAAATTGACATTTCCTGAGTACTAACTCTTCTGAGAATGATTAGAACGTAATGATTTTTCCACTTTTCATTGTTTGATTTCTATAACAATGAAGTGGTTTCTTGGTGGTTAAAGATACTGTACTGGTATGCTTGAATGGTCTTGCCACCAGAATAAGTTTGGCTGTAGAAGGATTCCATCTTGATGCTTTCTCATAAGACCTCATCTTTGATTTGGGAGTATAACCTCTGGAAGGAAGAGGTCAGTTGTGTCTGCACTATCCGTTTAGATTTGTCTTTTGCTCTGAGGGTGCTGCTTCGTTCCCTTTGTGCCAATGGCTGATCTGATGTGGACACCTGCCTGCTAGGCAGCAGGCTGAGAAAACTAATTCATTTCACACTGGCCACCAAGCAGCTGTTACCTTACAATGTCTTTCAGTCATCAGTGGCAGCGGCAAGGATTTGAACCAGTAGAGCAGAAGTATTCTTGTATTCCAGAAACCATTGAGGGCCAGCAGCTATGCAAACTTCTCACATGCACATCTCCCAGCACACCTGCCTCCTCGCCTGTGAAGTTTGTGCGTTTCCTGCCATGAGATGTCTCCAATACACACAACTTGGATTACAGTTAGCCAGGTTTCTCAGAAGTAACAGATGATTTGGAAGTCTGACCTTATCTGAGAATCAGATGGCTTTAAGGTATCTCGTGTTGGACGTCTCGTGGAGGCAACAGAAACTGCTTAGTGTTCCTGGGGAAAAGACTCAGTTCCTGCTCTGCCTCCTACTGTAACTTTTCTGTGCCCAAGGCCTAAAGCTCACTCTCCCAATGGTTCACCTTGTTATTGCAGATGTTGAACAGCTGCTCAGGTCTCTGCTTCAGTCCTGACTGATGGCTCCTTTGCTGCTTCAGATCTGTGCTACCCTGGAGCAAGTAGTGCTTGTGCCATGTCTAGAGGTTGCTTCCCACTGCACACGGTTTCCTCTTACACTCCGAATTCCTTTTTGTTTGTTTCCTAGTCCAAAAATTTGACTCTGGAGGTAGGAAGAAGTATGAGGGGATGAGAAGGTAGCAGAAAGTGAAGTATCTGCATTTACCTGTATGGTACGTGCGTATCACCCATATGATGTAGTTTTCTGACACTTCTCGCCAGAAAAGGGCCTGAAATATCACCATTATAGCTTGAAACCGCTATGTAGTGCTTTAACAACCTAGACTTTTTGTTTACCAGTCACTTACTGTAGTTAAGCAGAGAACCATGGGATGGCTCAGAGATTGAGGAATTAGTTTTGAAAACCAGTCTTGCTGTCCCATCTACTTCAAAAGAGTGTTTGGGGCAGTGTTGAGCAGTCCCCACCACAAAACTGTCACACTCAGTTGGTATGATTGACCGGGTCTGTTGAGGAAAATTATCCTGGAGCCGTAGTGACCTCCTAACCCTTCGAAGGGGTCGGGAGAGGGGTGCAGTGGCTGGAGAGTGAGAGACCTGCTCTGTGACCGCCTGCAGCACGTCAGCCTCTGCAGCTGAGTCAAAGTACTCATTTCTTTTTTGTTTTCCCTTTCGAGTGGCAAAAGAAACGTGACACATTTTCTTGTGGCTGTCTCTGTTGTATGTTGGGGACTGTTGTCACAATTCTCGGTGTCTGAAGTTCTTAAAAGCAGTTTTACGAAGTGCGCAGCTAACATTAGCTGAGTGCTGGCTGAGGTGAGATGAGCCAAGGTTTCCCTGCCTTGCTACCCCAGGTACTGTGCCTTTCAGTGAAAGTTAAAGGAGCGATGTATGGCTAAACATCTGTTTGCTTGGTTTTTCAAGTACACGGCTGTTCTCTTCCACAGCATTACTGACACCTGCGATTCTTAAAACTGAGGGAGTCATCAATGGTGCGATCTTTTTTGTGCTAATGTGATGCCTTACTGCTCAATATCTCTTTATTTAGACAATGAAAATAAAATAGTTGGTTTCATTTTATAGTTTTTGTTCAGCTTCACTTTTAAATTACGGTACAATCAGTGCTGCCTATACACTGAAGCATGTATATTTTTGTGGGAAAAGATAGAGCTTCTGAAGAAGCCTGCAAAATCAAAATTTTTTTTTTTTTTTAGAACTCCATTTTTACAAAGGCTTGTTTTTCGCAAAACCTTCATTATGAGCTAAATTGACCCAACTGTGGCCCTTTAAGAGACATGTTGGCAGTTAATCTGTTCTGGTTTACAGCGTGTACATTGCTTTAAGAATGACTGGAATTCTAGGGGGAGGGAGAAGGGAAGCTTTGACCTCCATGTGCACATGTGCTGCTGCCAGCATCCCCTTGCTCGTCTCTGTGATTGAATGGGTAAATCAAAGAACACCAGCTTTTCAGTTCTCTCTGCAGTGAGGCTCTCTGTATTTACTGGTAGCCAGCATGGCTGAAGTACTTTCAAGTGCAAGAGGGGAGCTTTCTACCAGTTACGTTGGTGTAGGAGCTGGTAGCCAGCCCAGTTGTTGGGGTTCTTAATTACACTGCTTTCCCTTTCCCCAGGTCCGAATGCATCAATAAGTTTGCCTCTGTCTTTGGGACCATGCCTCTGAAAGTGGTGGAGCACCGTGCTGACCCTGTCCTGTACAAAGATGACTTTCCTGAGAAACTGAAGAGCTTTCCCAATATTGGCAGCTTGTAAAAGCAGCTGTGAGACAAACTTGGGTGATGAAAACAGGGGCCGAAAAGGTGCTATGAGGAATATAAGACCCTGAAGAAAAAAATTGCTAGAGTGGGTTACATCTGAGGGAGATGGGAATTAATGTTGTATGCTGTCATCCCTTTACATTGCACAAATACAATGGAAAGCTGAACAACTGCTTCTCTGTTGCTCTCAGAGGATTTAATCTATTCGTGGGTCCTCCCAGAAATGTTAAACACACACTTTACTCCAAAGGAGGCTATGCACCTGGAAGAGTAAAACGGAATCTCGCTCTCTGTGATCTGACTGGCATGACTGACCTCTTCTACCAAATGTGCTTTAGTTCTCTGGTTTGTAAGCATCCATCCTTTCAAAGCAACTGTCTGCAATGTGTAGCTGCTCTCTTTTGGGAGGAGCTTATTGCCTGTGCCATTGGTGGGCCTCTGACTTTTGAGCTTAATTGTTGGCCCAACTAAGTGTGTAAAAAACATTTTTTTTTTTTCTGCCTAGTGAGACAAATGTTTATTTTTTTACATCATCAGCAACAAAAATGTGTGTGTTGTCACATGGTTTAAAGGGCAAAGCATTTTGTTTTACTTAAATTATTTTGATGTGAATTGAGACACACAGCAGCTGGGAGGGCGGTCTGCTTCGAAGCAGAGACCTGCAGGCCAGAACCCCAATTGCTGCACTTCTTCCTGTGTAAATCTCAGGTTTGCTGCTGTGTCCATGCAAGAGACTGTGACTCTGTGTCAAAATTAGTTGTATTGTACAAAAAAGAGATGTACCTTTCAGTCTTTCTTTATTTTTGCTTTTCATTATCAAAACAGAGCAGTCAGGTTACAGTTTTACATTGTAACCATATGAAGTAAGGTTTTAACATCTGAATCCTCTTCAGCAAGCAGCATGTTGTAGCACTGATTTGTAAAACACTTCAATTTACAGAAATTCCCAGTTACAGCTTCAAGGCACAGGGATATGTACGTGCAAGACACACTTACAAACTCCTATAAATTACCCTTGTTGCAAACACTGCTGGGTCTTTGCCTGTAATTTAACTAAGGAACCCATTGCCACAGGCTGCCACTGAAACATACAGCTTAGGGAGGCTTTTGGAGAAGCTTTACATTTCTCACAAGCATTGACATTCTTTCCCAGTACTGAAATTAACCTGAATTAGAAAATGAAATGCAGCAAAACTAGAAATAAAATTGCCTGGACCGTTACCTCTTGCCCTTCGATATTAAAGATGATCCCCTAGTTAGGCTGAGAAAGGAATCTCTGTCCCAGCTCCACTGATAAAATGTTTGTTACTAGATCTGGTAACTGACTGATATTGCTGTGGGTGATGTGACTGTCTTTTGAAACCCCTCTTGCGGCCAGCTACAGAGACATCCTACTTGATGGGCTGTTTTTCTGTTACACTGCGAGCAACCTTATTCCTCAGATTTTGCCAAACCCCAAACAATAGGACAAGTGTTAGGCATCATGGTTCCGCCCCTCTCCTAAGCTGGTTAGGCAGCAATGACAGAAACCAAATGAAAGTCAGGCTAGAAACAGGAAACATCTGCTCCTATTTGTCTCACCCCCACTAAGACTTATCTTATTGCCCAATGCCGTGGATGTGCTGTGATTGAGAATCATATTGGAACAATAGCTCTGAGGGGATGCTTCACTTCGTAACTCCCCAGGGATGTGCCTGTAAACTGTATCGTCCGATTCTCTGGGAACGCTGAGTTGCTAGTAAATGTTTTTTCACTCCAGTCTTTCATGCTGAAGTTGCTGTGGGAGGGAGGTATTGGGGACCTGGAAGGAGAAGTTTTGCAGTGACAACCACTGCTGTCTGCACAGTGGGTATCACAAGATAGAGGAAGGTTTGTCACTCACTAGTTCTCCTTTGTAGCCACTCAGGTTTGTTCACAGGAACTTTCTTTCTGAATTTTCTTGTTGATTTATGGCCTGGTGCTTGAGCATCAGGAAATACCAGCATATTTCCCTTTAAAAGTTTGCTTTAAAAGGATGGCTGTGGCAGTGTAGTAGTCGCTTCAGTTTTGGCCCTTCTTTTGTGGCTGATCTCAGCTTGGCAGGCATTAGCCGTATAATTGAGTATGTAACATCTTCCTTGCACAGAATTGTGAAGCTGCTGCGATTTCTTGGTTCTTTCTCAGTAAGCCAGGATTTTTGCACAGTCTTAAAAGACATGGAGGATTTCAGATAGTTGGTGGAATATTTTTATGTGAAGACAGCCTACCCAGCCCTCCTAAACTGATCTAGTGTCAGCTCAGTAAAAGGCAACAAGTCCTTGTGCTTGCATCGCTGAGTATCTGAGCAGATTCCCCTTACACAAAATGCCCGGTCACCCGTATTGGTCATGTTTTGTCCTTTGTCATTTCACACTTGCTTTTGTAGAGCCGTCTCATTTAGATGGTAATTTGTCTCTCTTTTGTGCCATGGAGAAAATTGGGCAATTGAATGTAAAAAAAATTTGTAAAATGACCTAATTCCCCTCTATGTTTGTAGTTGTGATGCTCCTGACACAAAGTCTGTAAAGGTAAGATGTACCTGTATGTCTGATTTGGAATGGGTTTGTTTTCAGTCTTTAAATTAAGATAATTGTTAACTTTTCATTGTATATATGTTATTAAAAAAAAGTTAATATTGTTATATTAAAAAGCAAATTCAAGGAGTGTTTATTGTATTTCACTTCTGGAGCGGCACAAGGAAACATGGATGCATTTAGAAGGGAGAATTGCAGTGACAAGCTGTTTTGCTGCGTAAATCTTTGTTAAACTTGAATATCCACAGTGTACTTCAGAAAGATCTGTCAGTATTTTGTCTTTCCCATAGCTGCAGTTGGATGATTGTCTTTGAAGTAGAAGTTTGCTCTGCACGAATTCATCCCAGTCACCTTTTTGGAGAGAGTAGTTGTTACTCTAATTTTCTGCCAAGATTTGACAGTAGCATTTATCTTGGAGAAATAGGGAACAGATCCTTTCTCTTTTTGTGAAGAGAGACAGCAAACGTTGAAGAATTGTGCTTTTGAGAAAAGAGTTTTGGCGGAGTCATCGAGATGGAGGAATTTGGTGTGGTGGGAGCTCCGATTCCAGCAGTGCGCCGGCATGGTCCCTGCGGAGGGTGCTGCAGTCGGGCAGCGTGTGTGCATGGCACGCCTTGCTGCTTGTGCGTGGCAAGGGCGGCGATGTGCTGCAGCGCTTGCCCTGCCAGTCACGGGGAGTCTTAAGGATACGTTTTTAGCGTCACCAACTCTCCCTACAATGTGTTGGCTCTTTCCTTCTCACGGCTCCATTATCTCATTACAGGACATGCCAGTTCAAGCCCTAATGTTCTGAATTAGTCTCTCCTGCCATTTCCAGCTGCTGCTCTTGAACCTCCTGCCACCCATCGTTCTTCTGCTGGTGTGGTTCAAATGTGCTTTACTGCAGCAACTAATTTATCCCTGTCTGTTATCAATTCAGAGGCCTTTTAAACTCAAGGGCCTTGGAGATATGGATATCAAAATAGTTACAAGGTAGAATTTAAGAGATGCTTACCATTTCTGACTCATTTTGCTTTGAGCTTGTATTGGTGAGTGTTGAGCACTCTGGGAAAACGCAATACTGAGAGACATAAAAATGGATTTAGGTGGGCAATTTTAATGTTAAAAATATGTTAAAAATACCATAATTGGTGTTTGGTACCCTGGGTGCTTCTTGCAGGAAGAGAACCTTTTGATCAGGAAAGATCTTAAAATGCTTAATTAGTACTGCATCAATCTTCTATCCAGACCTTTCACATGGAAGCTGCTGTTGTAAAAGGACTGCAGAAAAAGAAAAACTAAAATTGACAGTGCTGACGAGAAAATGGATTTTAAATGCCCTAGCCAGAGATCAGACAGAGTATGAATTTTTTTCATTGTTCTGAAAGACTTGTGTGTTTAAATTTTACTAGGACTGTTGCAAAGCATGTTCTTGTGTAAACTAAAATGTAAACTACAGGTAGTTCTTGCAATCGGGGTTAGTCTCCTCCATGTGCTGAAAGCAAGAAAATAATATTCTGCAAGGTTGTTAGATGAAATATATGCTAGAAAGTGAGCTGGTCGATTTGCTAACGTCAGTCTGGTCCTGAAGAGTTGGGAAGAGCAGAGCAAATACTGGGCAAATATTCCACCTATATTCTCTTTTCATTTTTAGGCTGAAAGAAATAATTGCTGTCAAAAATTGCCAGAAAGCTCTGAACACTATTCTTTGCATCTTTCTGTAGGATCTGAGAGTTATCCCAGAAGCAGGTAATCACTTCAGATCTCTCGCCAGCTTTGCTAGGGAGAGAGAGATGGCATTTGCTTAACAGAGAAATCGGCTAGAACACTTGCTGTACTGTTGAGCCGTGGATCCTTCAGCTGTATCTCATGCTGCTGGGAGTGCGTGTAGGACTCTGCAAGTTCTTTCTCTGGTGGCTGCCCCAGCTGTATCTGAGCGCAATAAATTGAGCTTGGCAGTCCTCCTGCTGGAGTGAGATCAGCCTCTTACCTGTTGCTGCAGATGAGCAGGTGGAGGGAAGCTGTGATACACCCAAGGCCTTTGGAGTCGTGTGAGTAAAACCAGGACTGAACACCAGTATCCCAAGCCTGTGTTTTAGCAGAACGGCCGCAGTTTGTCTGAACTGTTGTGCATTTGGAGTTTTGGGTAGCTCAGTACCAAGGTGGAGGACTGTTAGCCTTGACTTTTAGTGTCAGCATGCAGCAGCCTGCCCTGGCTTGAAGCCATTTAGAGACATTCCCGCTGCACTCTGTGTAATTTCAGCCTGATGGAAATGGCTGTAAGGCAGTCCCACCTCTGCTGATCTTCAGGATTCCCCTGTCTGCAGCTTCTTGTGGTTGCTTTGAAAGCGAGTTATGTTTCCCATTAAGGGATAACAGCAACAATTGAGGCAATTAAGTGGAGTGGCATGGAGCTGGCAGCATGCAGGGAGCTTTCTGACTGAAAACAGCACAGCTCGAAGCCTCTCCCTGAAAGGCTGCCTGTTTGCTGTCTTTGTCTGGAAAAGGATCCAGTAATTCTTCTCTCCTTTACTCATTCTAAATGCCTGTTTACTTGCATAAATAGGAAGTGCTCCTGCTCCAGACAATCATGACAACCCTGCAGTAACTGTGGACTGAGATCAACGCAACTTGGTCATGGTTTCATTAGGTCCATGAACTTCAATCAGTGCTCAGTACCAGAGTATGTGCGGGGGGGAGACAAGAGAGAAGATGGGCAAGGGGAGAACCAGGTGTCTATATAAAGAGAAATAATCCACA